GAGAGGGGAAGCTCCGTAAGACCCCCGACACCCCCCCGACTAACAGAAGCGGCGACGCAGGGCAAGGGGAGACCCGCTGGGCAGGGAAGAGGCACCCCAAGACCGGCTCCTTACCAGGGACACCTTTCCAGCAATCCTCCCAGCCACCACGTGCAGTACGAAGAAGAGGTTTGTGGGCAGTCCCACAAACCAAAGAAGTTCAACCAATCAATTCAAACTTCATGAGAAGTTTGAATTGATTGGTTGCACTTTTTTAGTCACACTTTTTTTTTCCAGACTGCACATGGTGGCTGAGGACAGGGAGCCGCAGGAGACGGCTGAAAGAGCCGCATGCGGCTCCGGAGCCGCAGGTTGCCGACCCCAGGCCTTGGATCACCTTAGTTGATCTTCTCTGAATTTTTTCCAAACTCTCAACATCTTTTTTGTGATATGGTGACCAAAATTGGTTGCAGCATTCTAGGTGTGGTCTCACTCGGGTTTTATAAAGCGGTACTAATACTTCGTGTGATCTTGATTCTATGCCTCTCTTTATACAACCCAGGATTGTATTAGCTTTTCCCCCAATCTCATCCAGGCAGGTTTTTCTTCTTAGAGATGAAACTCTGGGGAAGTTTTACAAGTAGTCCTCAATTTACAACCATTCATTTAGTGACCGTTCGAAGTTACAACGGCTTTGAAAAAAGTGACAAGACTGTTTTTCACATTTACGGTCCCCCTGGTCACGTGATCAAACTCCAGATGCTTGGCAACTGGCTCATATTTATGATGGTTGACGTGTCCCGGGGTCACGTGATTCCCATTTTGTGACTTTCTGAAAAGCAAAGTCAACGGGGAAAGCCAAGTTCACTTAACAACCGTGTCAGTAACTTAACAACCACAATTCACATAACTGTGGCAAGAAAAGTGGTAAAGTGGGACAAAACTCACTTAGCAACTGCTACGCTTAGCAGCAAAAATTTAGGGCTCAGTTGTGCTCGTACGTCAAGGACTACACCTCTACACATTATTCAGCCACAAACCACATCCTTTGCGGGCTTACAAAATGCTTCGGTTTTCACCACAGAAGGGAAGTTGCATGCAAAACCCTGCGAGGCGAGCTGGTGCTGACTGGAGAGGCGATGGGAGTTGTAGGCCACCCAACATGGGACTGCAATCCCCATTCAGCCCAAAGCTGTGGGAAAGAGGAACTCTGGATCAGGCAGTCATCTTTCAACACTTTTACTTGGGAAACTTGAGACCAGCTTAGTTGGCTTTTGAAGAAATATATCTTCCTTTCCTTCAAAAAAAAAAAAGCCAAGTGGGCAGTCCCACAAGGATGACAAAATCCGGTTTTCACAAGAAAATCAAGTTGTAAAGTGGAGAAATCAACTCCCTGTTGCAGCAACTTCGTCATGGGAAACAGGAAAGCATAAGAAAAAAACCCTCAGTGTAATCCCACCTTGATTCTGTTCGGGATAAGAGGGCTGAAGTGAACTGAAACTCTTCTGGTGGGCTTTCCAGATTTTGGTGGGCTTTCCAAAGTCAGTGGAAAAAGTCAGATTTGCTTAACGACCACATGGTTCACTGAACAACTAGAGTGATTCACTTAGTTAACAACCCTGGCTGTAAAATCAGGCACAATGGACTTAACCCACCTTGCTTTGCAACAGAAATTTTGGTCCCCAATTGTGGTGTAAATTGAGAACTTCCTATATTCCCATGCTGGAATTGGTGCCATAAAGAATCTGCCTCCTTACATTTATCTATCTCTTTTTTTAAACCATGCAAGTCAACTTAATAGTCATGTCTTGTGGCAATGAATTCCACAGGTTAATTTTTCATAGGGTGAGAAAGAGACCAGGTGGCACATTTCTATTCTAAATCTTCAATAAAACCACCAAGCTCAGAGAGCGCCAAGGACCCCACAGCCCTCAGTGTACTCCTCCCCCACTCCACACACCACATTGTCTTCTGTCCCTGGTGTTATGTTATGTTGGGTAATGAAATGTCTGCAACAAAATGGCCAAGATCAGAGAGCACCAAGGACCCCACCGGCGTCATCCTCCTGCTCCACCTTCTCCTCTTCTCTCCTCCTCCTCCTCCTCCTGTCCACAAACCCCCTTGCCTTCTAGCACTGATGATGTTATCTAGTTGGGTAGCAAGATGTCTGCAAGAAAACCATCAAACGCAGAGAGCACTGAGGACACCTCAATTCAACCCTGAGGACAAATATTCTCCTTTATCATTACAGAAACAATTTCTCTTATCATAGCCTACTACAATAAAACCAGATTGCTAGAATCTCTGCAGTGGCTGCTTTTTAACCAGGCCAATCCCAAAGCCTTGACCCCAGGACCTCCTGCTTTGAACGCCACATGGAGAATGCCGGGATCATCACTTTCTCTTTAAAGCCAGGCCTTCCCCGATGACTGGACAGGGTGGGGAGGGGACACCTGGCGCACATATTCTGGCACAAAATCGGCCTGCCCAGGAATGCAATTCGAATTAGCACGCCCAGCCACTGGCCTGTGCAAGACCGCCCAACCCACAGGAGCAACGAGGGAGGGGTGCCTTTCATTTTTGCAAACTCTGCCAGCGGCAAGGATCCTGAAAACAAAAAAAAGTCCCATTCGGTAAATCCTGGGGAAAGCTCCCAGACGGTCCTCGCCCGTGCTCTGCCTGCTTTTGAGTTCCCAACATTGCAGCTGCGTGTTGACACAGCCCGTTCAGTTCCACCAGTAAAGGACAGAGTGTCCACATTCACACAACACACTAAGATGGGCGGGTTTTTAACCCAGGCGTATTTGGGGAAGAAAGTTTAGAGTTTGGTCAACTCGTAATTCAAAGCAGTGTTTTCAAACTTGGCAAGTTTAAGACAGGTGGACCAACTCCCAGCACAGCTGGCTGGGGAATTCTGGGAGTTGAAGTCCACCCATCTTAAACTTGCCAAGTTTGAAAAGCAGCAGACTAAGGCGTTGCAAAATGAAGAATTTGGGTTCAGTTTGTGTTATGTTGACACACAGGCTGCAGAAACTTCTACAAATTGACGGGCTGATCCCAGGCCTGCAAAGTCTTTTTCCAGACCACAAAACCAATATCTGACACAGCAGAAAAGGTGCAAACATTTTCGTATTTAAGCCAGGCCTGCATGCAACCCTGGGCCCCCGTTTATTATCCCCGATTTTAAACACCGAGAACCAACAAATGTATTTTTCTTGGGCTAGGATCTTTTTTGCTCAGAACTATTTTTAATATTTGTAAATATCCAGAGTTTTTTCCCCCTCCTTCCTTAAAAATCATGTTTCTACAGCTGCAAAGCCAGCATTCCAGGAATCTTTTGGAGTTTTTTTTTTCTTTCATGCATTAATGACGCGATTGGCCAGCACAACTGGCAGACGCCTCCAAACACCGGTAATAAAGAGAACAATGGACTAACTCTTGATGCGACTTTTAAAAAGGCAGGTTTAACCCACAGCGTTTTTGCAACCTATATTCCAAAGGAGAGCTTTCTAATGTGACCCACACCAGATAAAGGAATAATGGAATTTTGCAGTGGGGGGAGGAAGTTCACTTCTTGATATTTATATGGGATTTTTTTTAGATTTTTCAGACTTTCCCGGTTTTCAAAATGCTTTTGGGTAGAGTGTGACCAAACGTCGCAAGGGCCAATGAGAGAGAAATCAAGCATGGAGCCAAGGAGAGGAAGGGTAACCATCTTCCAGCTGGGCAGGAGATCCATGCAATGGCGCAAGCGAATGGCCAACTGAGACGGGCACAAGCTGGCAGAAAAAAGCAAAGCTCCAGCAAGCAGCCACGCCCAGGGTTTGCAGTGATTCAGAGAGAAGAGAATTGTGTAGTTAAACCACCCAGGGGGGCTGGCATTACTCAGATGTTTTTGCAAGAGCGCCTGCTGACCTCTAACCCTCCCTCCTCCTCCGATGCCAATTCAGACAAGGCTCAGGAGAGATTTCCTGACAATGGGGACAATTAATCAGTGGAAGGGCTCGCCTCCAGAAGTTGTAGCTGCTTCATCACTGTAGGATGTTACAGATTGGACAGTCATTTGTCTGAAATACTACAGGGTCTCCTGCCTGAGCAGGGGGCTGGACTAGAAGACCTCCAAGTTTCCTTTCAGCTGTTATTCTGTATTCTGGTCATTCAGGCTGTGGTGGCTGAACCTGATGACTCACAATTCCCCATTGACTAGACTCCATTCATAGAACCGCAAATGAACGCAAGCTGAATTTAGCCACTGCTGAGCAGGGACACTGTAAAGTCAGCTGCTTTGCAAGGCCACTGGCTGGGTTTAGGTCAACCTGGCCTGGTATCAAGAGATGGATGGAGAGACATCTCTGCCATCCTCTATCCGGTTCGATGCCTCTGTAAACTGGTGGCATCAGACTACACCAGTCGCTTTGTCAGTGAGATGGCAGCATATAAATCGAATCTATAAACTACCTTCTAGGAATGGCTCTCCTGCTTGAGCAGGAGGTTTGACTAGAAGACCTCCAAGGTCCCTTCGAACTCTTATTTTATACTTTGCCCTGACCAGGGGAACCCTCCTAGACACTGGTCCTGGGAGGGCACCGAAGATGCTTCTGCCTTTGGCTGCAAAGGATCTGCTCCTTTTACTATGTTTCTCAACCTTGGTGGCTTTAAGACGGGTGGACTCCAACTCCCAGAATTTCCCAGCCAGGCATGCCTTAAAGCCACCAAGGTTGAGCAGCGGTGGCTCTAGTCCTCCATATCAGCCCCAAAAGACCTTCCTCCCTCTCTGCTGCCCCCTGCCCACCTTGCAGCTGGAAAGCTAGCAGCAGTGGCTCTAGTCCTTAAGATCAGACTCGAAGGGCCTCCCTCCCTTCTGCCCCCTACCCACCCTGCAGCTGGAAAGTCCTCAAGATCAGATTCCAAGGACCCCTCCTCCCTCCCTAGCAGCAGGGGCCCTAGTCCTCAAGACCCGACTCCCCTCCTCGCTGCCCCCTGCAGCCGGAAAGCCAGCTCCGCGGGCCCCCCCCCCTTACCTGTTGAGGAAGGCGTTGCCGAAGGCGTTGAGCTTGCGGAAGGGGCGTCGGGGGTCGACTACCAGCGCGTTGCCCGGGATGACGCCCTCGCTCTCGCCGCCCATGACGGCGATGAAGGAGTCGGTGGTGGGCTCGGGCCCGATGCGCATGCCGGGGAAGTCCTGCTCCAGCAGGTGGCGGATGAAGGTGGTCTTGCCCGTGCTGTACTGGCCCACCAGCAGCACCATGGGCTTGCTCTCCCAGTCGGCCGGCTCCAGCGCCGGCGAGTGGAAGTCGTGGAAGCGGTAGTGCTCCTCCAGCGGCAGCAGCTTGCCGGCGTAGAGCTGCTTCAGCCCCTCCGAGACGGTGCGGAACAGCTCGGGCTCCTTGCGCCGCCGCGCATCGCGGCTCACCCAGCTGAACATGGCCGAGCCCAGCCCTGCTGCACGGAAGCCGGTCAGTGCCAGAAGCTCGCCGGCTACGAGAGCGGCCCCCACGCACTCGCCACGCGCCCCGGGGCGCCGCCCTTTATAAAGCCTCCGCCCGAGCCACGCCCCGCAAGCGCGGATTGGCCCCGGCCCGGCGGCCGCGCCCTCTCCGCCTGCAGCGCCACGCCCCCCCAGATGCTCCTCTGATAAAGCCTCCGTCCGGGCCACGCCCTCTCAGTGCTGATTGGCTTCTCTCTGGCGGCCGCGCGCTCTCCGCCTGCCTTACCACACCTCCCCGGGAGATGCTTCCTGTGTAATACCTCCGCCCGTGCCACGCCCATTTGGGACCGATTGGCTCCATCAGGACAGCCGCACCCTCTCCGCCTGTCCCGCTACAGCACGGCGGAGGCTCCTCATGTAAAGTTTTCGTGTGGGACATCCCCCCTCAGCGCTGATTGGCTCCTGCCAGGAGGCCTGACACGCCCTCCCCTTATAAGGATTCCTTTAGGGACACGCCCCCCAGCGCCAATTGGTTCGTTCCAGGCGGCCTCGCCCTCTTCTGTCATTCCTCTTGCAAGAAGCCTCCGCCCAGGCTACGCGCCCTCGACGGCGATTGGCCACGGCCATGGCAGACGAGGCGGAGAGGCGGAAGCGTAGGGCTGCTCAGGGATCTATGGCGCTTGAGAACGAGGGAAAATGTAGTAGAGGGACACAGGGCAGGGGAGAGGTGTCCTGGGACTGCCTCTGAGCATGTGCAGAGTATTTCGGACCAGATAATTATTTTTTTAATCGCCTATGCACTTCCCCTATCTCAAATTGATTAAAACAGTCTTTCCCAAGTTCAGCAATGCCATGTGTGTGGACTCGCATTAGGGCTGCCTGGGGGATTCTGGGAGTTTAAGTCCACCCATGTTAAAGTTGCTGAGCCTGAGAAATATGGCTCCCACTGCATTCTGGGAGCAAGTGAGCTATTGTAGCTTGGCTGGAGAAAGGTGCAGAGACCACCCAGGCACTGGAGGGGTTCAAAAAAGTCAAGATGGCAGTTGCAAAGTTCCACCTTTTACGACATGAATTGCACATTTATTTATTTATTTATTTATTTATTTTCATTAACTTATATGCCGCCCTTCTCCCCATGGGACTCAGGGCGGCTCACAGCATGTTAAAACAATATAAAACATTATCCCCTATAAAAGCCAATTAAAACCAAATATTTATAGCTGTGTCTTATTAAAATCATTAAAATTGTCCCTATTTAAAATTCACCCTAGGTCAGACCCG